AAAAAACCCAGAGCTTGCAAGGAGAATGACTGACTTAACCCATCAATGAGAAAGCACATACTGATCAGCCAGTATTTTTCATTTTCTACGTGGAATATTTCCTCAACTTTTTAGGTGTACTCTTGTCTATAAATATACAGAGGTAATGTATACAAAATAGATGTGGAAAGATTTGAAAACCGCTTGATCATAACTCAACCAAATGATACTAAAGGGTCATATGCAATTGCATACCAACATCTGAAGGCGTGGGTAAGAAAAGTTTGCTGCGCTCCAAGTTGGCGTTAGGAATAATCCAGTAAAATAAAGTAAATAAAATGTAGACTGAATCTCACGTAAAATATTCCACAGCCTAATACATTATATTAGTTGAAATAGTTCCTCCAAGAAAAGTGATGGAAGGCTGTTGCTCAGGTCATTAGAAGCTGGACTGGACAATATATACCAGAAGCAATACCATATGGACCAGTAAAGCATTGACAACAGAATGCAGTAACAGGTCCCTTCCATCTCTCATGGCTATGATTATATACATTCTGCAAGAACATGGGCATCTTTCAGTGAGGTGTGGGGATTGAATTATGCTCATGAGCCTGATGCTGCACAGGTATAGTTGATAATAACTAGAGACTTCCATGGAGTGGTGTCTTTTTGCACAAGCTAAGAATTTGATTTAACATATATTTCTTTAATGTCATTGTTAAAGAAATACCTATATGTAAGCCAGCCTGGTGGGGGCGGGGTGTCAGTGTGTAACAACAGTCCAGATCCCATTTTGTGTTAACTTTAAACCCAGTAACACAGGACTGGGAGCTAAAATCTCTATTCTGATACTGACTGACCTTGAACAAGTTGCTCACCCTCTTTGTGGCTCAGTTTCCTGACAGTGGGAAGATAATGTATTCTTCACAAGGGGGCAAGAAGACTAATGCATTAAGATATAAAGCACTGTATTGATTCAAGCAGCTTTCTGTGCCTATGAAGACCCCTCCTTGTAAAAGAATTGCAATATTTAATCAGTCAAATAATCGCTATAGCAGGGAGGCTTCTGGCCTTAGGCTCCTGCAAATGAAATGCTATATAGGACTGGGGGAAATTTTTTTTCCACCTGAAAGAAACTTTAAATTTTTCCTGAAAACAGTGAAAATCATGCTATCTTGGTCAAAAAATGGCAAGGAGGAGAAAGTGGTTCTTACTCTGTTGTGTACATACATGCACAGCCGGGCACCAAAATGCAGTGAAATTTCTCAGTTCTCAAGTTTTAGCATCTGCTGCCTCGGAACAGAACTGAATTTTATGTGAAAGGTAAGAATTCCTGTGGATGATCCCTTTTATTAGACCAACTGTATGGTTGGCATAAATGTAGGTAAGCGTCTGGGCATCACAGCACCCTTAGGCCTCCCTGATACCCAACAGTTTGCTGTGTCTATACCAACTATACAGTTGGTTCAATAAAATATATCACCCATAAGATTTCTTGTCCTTCACATATCTCCTGGACCATCACAGCAACACCATCACCTCAGCACTAGCAAAACAACTGAATTTTGCATTTCACGATAAATTGTGTTAAATTGTAAGCAGGATAGAAGGGTCACTAGCAAACAGGAAGTATGCAAAACCAAATAAACCTTTATTTTGTGCCTTATTCCTATAGGATTTTGTATCCCTAAGAACAGGAAAATTATTTAGTTTAGGAGACTGGAACAAGAACATGCTGTTTTTGAACAGGTATCTCAAATGGGGTAAGAAATACTCTTAACCATTTCTTATTCTGCAGTTTGACAGTGGGAGTACAATGAGATGATAAATTGTTTCTGTGATATGAATGTTACCTTTTTAATGTAATGTATTGCCACTGCTTTGGTTAGCTACAACTTCCATAGTTTACAATATCTTAGCGATCATAACATCTCCCCTTACACCTAATACGCATTGTATTGTGCGTGCTTTTTTAAACTATACTTTATTAAATGGATACTTCCTACAAAAAAGGTTTTCCAAGCTGTAGAGGGATTAAGACTTACATTCCCAATAATTTCATTGACATATTTGAAGTACCTTTACCCTCACTGTTAAAAACTTCTTGGAATGTGTAAATTGGAAAAAAAAACAACTTGAAAATTGTATTTAATTACTTTGTGCATCTCACCCAATTTAAATAATGAAAATACAGTGGTCATTTTCATTTCCTGCTTTCTCTGGGTTTGCCTAGTGATACAATTTTCAAGTTAGACATATGGAAGTACAGTATTTTGAAAACAAATACAATTGTTTTCATTAAATATTTCATAACATTTTCAAAAAGAGATGTAAGTTTTTACAATTCTTTTTAGTTTTGTCTGTCTTCCTGCAAGACTAGAATAATTTCTGGGCTCAGTTATGGCATTAGGCTAAAGGATTTTTATAAACTAAAATATAACGTCCCAAGGAAATCTGTATCTTTCTAAATTGCCATATAGAAGCAGCTTGACTTTGAGATAAGTTATTTTCCCCTGGTAGTTAGATTTATTGCCCCGACGGATTCTTTTCATCCATAAAACTTCTTCTTCTTTCCTCCTATCTCATGACAAAATTTCAGCCTCTGAAATACCAAATCAAATTAGATCCAGTGTAACAGAGCTCCTCCCTTCCTTTCAAGCTAAGTCGGGCCACATCTACTCAGTTCATGGTTGTGGTACCCCTTGGGGAAGCCCCCAGGTTCAGCTGGAAGTGGTGGTGGTAATTTATATAGATTCCCATCTTCCCCCTAAGTGTGTGCTAGCCCAGTGCTCCAGCATGATGTTAAGGAGGATCTAGTTTTTATGTGTGCTGAGCCACAGTGGCTCAAGCCAATACCTGTGGGATCTATAGGTGTCTGGGCTTGTGGCTAACCAGACTTAAGAAGTACTCAGATCTCCTGATGTGGGAATTTCTGTATTTCAGATGTGATGTAAATTAAAGGGTGTGGCTACAGGATTTTTTAAAAAAGATTTTGCATTATCTAGCTATCACAATACCTCCCAGTTGCAAAGGGTCCCAAATTTTGTTCAGCTCAGAACATAGGTGCTGCTTGATTAAATTGGGCTTGGAAAAAAAGCCTAGATCGAGGATGGAAATTGTCTCCAGCATATTCATGATGTTGTCCAGAGTGTGAAACTTTAACTCCTGCAAAGACATACGATACTCTGGGTACTTCATGCCAAAGTTGTCACATCACTTGCCAAAAAACCTGGTACCTGGGGAGTTAATGGAAGGCAAAAGACTTCTGACAGCTGTAAGATGCCATGGTTAAACTCCTGCGGAAGGGAAATCCAGCTGGCATGAGGTGCGGCTACATTAAAAATGAAAGGCCTGATTTTGAAAGAGAGCTGAAGAATGAGTAAGGTTGGTATTGGCCAAGGGTTGTACTTAGGTCTTGGTACAGACATTCAAAAAGCCTGAGGAGGAATTCATCTAAGTTGTGCGGTTTCCTGTAAGCAGCATAGTTTAGATCAGTAGTGAACATAAGGCACATTCGACCGGGGCCTGGGGGTTGCAAATCTTAGACCAGGTTATGCCATTTTTAAATCAGTCTATGTGGGCTGAACTGCTGTTCTGCTGTTCTGTTACAGGTATGGACCGGTTCCCAATCTCTTATACTGGTAAAAGTGTAATGTCTGTACCTGGCCTACCTAGGAGAGTGAGAGTGCAGGGAAAAAAATCAGGGATCTGAATCAGGGCAGAGAGGGAACTTTGGAGGAGTCTGGCTGGGGCACAGCTAAGGTTTATCTAGCTGACAACAAAGCATTTAAAGTTTGCCCACTGATGAGGGTAATTTGGAAATTGGATAGGAAACTACAATAAAACAGAGCAAACTTCAAGATACGTTCTTTTTAATAGGGGGATGCAGCTGATGGAGACTGCTTATCCCCTGGTAAGTCATTGTCTTAATCCACAGACTCTTTAAGAGGCTAAAGCAAAGAATAGAGGCTTTAGAAAATGGTTTGGGGAATCGAATGATCAGAGCAGGGGGAGAGAGGAGAAGGGGAAGCTATTGTAAGCGAAGTGATTGCACTGGCTGGAAAATGTGTATTGGTGATGCTTCCAAGGCATATGGCTGGGGTTAGGCACATGCCCTTCTGTGGGACAATCAGTTGTTCAGCTCTGTTTCCCCTGGCTCCCCGTGACCTGACCAGCCACATCCCCAGTGGTCTACTGTCCCTGACTAGACAGGTCAATGGAAATATGCTGATTTATCAAGGCTGAATTTCTGGCCCAACTCACCAGTTGAAGTCTGTGAAGTGAACGTCCTGGCTTTGTTTCTTTTTTACTGTTAGTAATATGTTACTGGGATTTTTTTATGTAATGGACTTGTGGCTTCTGTTTAGTTGGGATTGAACAGCTGTTTGCTAGCTGACTAGTAAGCAGATTGCAAAGTCTTGTGATAACTGTTGTGGGGGGGCATTACCTGCCCCGTGCAAGTCCTTGCACTGCGCTTCCCACCAGGAGATCTGAGTACTTCTTAAGGCTGGTTAGCCACAGGGCCAGACACCTATAGATCCCACGGGTATTGGCTTGAGCCACTGTGGCTCAGCACACATAAAAACTAGATCTTTTTCACTTAGATCCATAAATACAGATTAATAGTGGGACCTGAATTCTAGGCAAAAATGTTAGAAATGTTTGATTTAAATGCCTTGCATGCTTAAATGTCTCTAAATCTCTGTGTAATTGGAACCTGGGCCTCAGAATGCCTGATTAATGGATTTAAATGTGTTTCCATGGGCAAATCATTTTACTGGAAAACTTTCATGCACAGATATCTGCCTAAGTCGTATTATGAGTTTAACAGTTTGAGTTGTCCAATAGTTTCTCCATTTGTTTAGGTTCTGCCATTTGGCTGAGTAAGTTTATGTGTTTAACAGTCACTGCTTCAAGAAGTTTCCATTGTACTGCAAAATGTCCTACATTTCTTCCTGATAAAATCACTTTAGTAATGTTTTTTATCTTCCCTTTCTTTTTTCAACCCCTCTTTCCAGGTCAGAGGCTATCCAGAACCTCAGATCACGTGGTACAGAAATGGGCACCCTGTCCCAGAGGGAGAGCACTATGTAGTGGACCTCAGCATCCGAGGGATTTTCAGTTTAGTAATCAAAGGTGTGCAAGAAGGGGACAGTGGTAAATACACGTGTGAAGCTGCAAATGATGGAGGGGTTCGGCAAGTGACCGTGGAGCTAACAGTAGAAGGTAAGAGGATTATTATTGCCCTGCTTCTGAAGGGCTCCCATTGGCATTACTTGTAAAATGTGCACAGTGGTTCAGATTATCCAGCTAGCAGGCAGATATCCAGTGTTTTCAGTGCTTCTCATTGGTACATAAGTAGGACTCATTAGCTACTTCGTCTCCTCATGGGGAAGAATGGTCTCAGCACAGGATGAGGAGCCAGGAATTCCCTATTTCTAATTCTGTGTCTAACATAGATTCCTTCTGTTACAGGAACAAATCAAGTATCTCTATACTTTCAGAGTTTCCACTAGATTTAAGGGCCTCCATATTTGGGTGCTGTTTTTTTGTGATCACCCGTGTTGTCTAAACTGTGAACAGGAAATAACCCATAAAATCCAGTGTCATTAATAGCTCTTTTGTTGCTAAAGCTTGGTGCAGTGTTTTCAAAACTTAGGTGGAGGTTTTACTTTGAAACAGTGGAAATCTCTGAACTGTATCACACACCTCTGTATTAGAGATGTGCCACAGTGCTTAATGAGACTGTATGTACTCCCTGTATGTACTCCCCTGTATGTACCCCCCTGGAGGAAAGGTGGGCACACATGCATCATGATTGGGACTGGATTTTCTAGATTCTTAACTGAAATTCATGTCAAGAAATAAAAAACAGTTGATCGGTGTCTACACTAAATGGGTCAATGTTATGTACAGGTTTCCCTTGATTTATGTGGTACATGCGTTCCTGGAAAACTGTGCATAAATCAGATTTGCCTAAAGGGAGCCCAGTTTACAATTTAAGAAATAGGGATACATTTTCACAGCGGTGAGGGAAGGAGGAAGTAAGGCTGGACTAGGGAAGGGGTGGGGGAAGGGTGCAGCGCAGCCCATCAGCCGCTCCTGGGGCTGCAGCAGGGAGCAAAGCGGAGTGAATTGTACATGGGTGCAGGGCGGGGGAGGATGCTCCTACATGCACCCCAAGAAGGCTACAGGCTGGGAGGCTGTGCCAGGCTCTTCCCCAGAGGCTCGTCCCAGCCTGCAGCCCTCCTGGGGTGCGTGTAGCAGCACCCTGTGCCCTGCACCCACCTACAGTATCCTCCACTTTGATCTCTACTGCAGCCCCAGGCCTCTACTTCTCCCCACTCACCCTAGCCCCTGCTGCAGCGGTCCCAGGAGCAGCTGATGCCAGCTGCCTTCAGCCGCTGGGCTGCACCGTGCCCTGAGGCTCTGCTTGTCCCCATTCACACCAGCCCCAGGCTGTGCCATGCTGTGGTGCAGGCAGGTGGTGTTGGCTGCTCCCATGTCTGCTGCAGCAGGGTCTGGGGTGAGTGGCGACAAGCGGAGCCCCAGGGCATGGTACAGTTTGTCCCCACTCACCCCAGCCCCGGCTGCAGCGGCCCCAAGAGTGGCCGATGCCAGCTGCCTGCAGCTGCTGGGCTGCACCGTGCCCCGAAGCCCCTGGGGCTCCACTTGTCCCACTCACTCCAGCCCCTTCTGCAGTAGACCCAGAAGCAGCGAACCCCACCTGCCTGCACCACAGCATGGCGCAGCCCAGGGGCTGGGGTGAGTGGGGACAAATGAAGTCCTGGGGGGGTTTGGGGCATGGTGCAGCCCAGCGGCTGCAGGCTGCTGGCATTGGCCACTCCCAGAGCAGCTGCAGCAGGGGCTGGGGTGAGTGGGGCCCTGGCCCCACGGCCTTTTCCCTTCCCCCCAGAGATTTACTTACTTGGGGAGGAGCACCTGTGCTGATTACATAAGAATAAATATACCTCACATATAACAAATGTTGGGTATAAAAAGGGGCATTGCATAAGAGCGAGTTTGCATATACAGAACCTGCATAAATTGAGGGAAACCTGTACTAAGGGCCTGATTGGATGTTCATTGAAGCCAAGGGAAGGCACCCATTGACTTCAGCAGAAAGTTGGATCAGTCCCATAAATTCCTTCTTTCTATTGTAAAGGTGCTGATTCCTGCCAATTGGGTGATCATCAAGACTTCGTGAATCCCCTAATTCCCTGGGCCCAAGACCTAATAGTTTCATAGTGTCATAGTTGGTCGGGTCGGAAGGGACCTGAGCAGATCATCAAGTCTGACCCCCTGCCACAGGCAGGAATGAATGCTGGGGTCAAACGACCCCAGCAAGGTGTCTATCTAGCCTCCTTTTGAAGACCCCCAGGGTAGGAGCGAGCACCACTTCCCTTGGAAGTTGGTTCCAGATCCTAGCCGCCCTGACAGTGAAGTATCACCTCCTGATATCTAGCCTGAATCTACTGTCCGTCAACTTATGGCCGTCATTCCTTGTTACTCCCAGTAGTGCTTGGGGGAACAGGGACTCTCCCATTTCCTGCTGGTCTCCCTTGGCCAGTTTATAGATGGCCACCAGGTTCCCTCTCAGCCTTCTCTTGTGGAGGCTTAACAGGTTCAGGTCTTGTAGCCTCTTCTTGTAGGGCCTGTCCTGCTGCCCCCTGATCATGCGAGTGGCCCTCCTCTGGACCTTCTTGATGTTCTCCACATCCCTCCTGAAGTGTGGCACCCAGAACTGAATGCAGTACTCCAGCTGCAGCCTAACCAGTGTCGCATAGAGGGGGAGGATCACCTCTTTGAACCTGCTTGTGATGCATCTGTGGATGCATGACAAGGTGCGGTTGGCCTTCCTGACTGCGTCCCCATGCTGCCGGCCCATGTTCATCTTGGAGCCTATAATGACTCCAAGATCCTTTTCTGCCTCTGCGCTGACGAGAAGGGAGTTCCTCAGCCTGTAGGTATGGTGCTGGTTCTTCCTCACTAGGTGCAGCACCTTGTACTTGTCAGTGTTGAAACCCATCCTGTTCTCATCTGCCCACCCCTGTAACTTGTCCAGATCCAATTGCAGCCTGTCCCTCCCTTCTAGCGTGCCCACTTCTCCCCACATCTTAGTGTCATCTGCGAATTTGAACAGAGTGCTTTTCACCCCCTCGTCCAAGTCACTGATGAAGATGTTGAACAGCGCGGGCCCAAGGACCGAGCCCTGGGGGACCCCACTGCCCACATCCCTCCAGGTCGAATATGACCCGTCCACCACCACTCTCTGGGTGCAGCCCTCCAGCCAGTTGGTGACCCATCTGACTGTGTAGGTGTCAACACCACAAACTCCTAATTTTTTAACGAGAATGGGGTGAGAGACAGTGTCGAAGGCCTTCCTAAAGTCCAGAAAGACTGTCCACCGCGACACCTGCGTCTAAGGATTTTGTGACCTGGTCATAGAAGGCCACCAGGTTGGTCTGACAGGACCTGCCTCTAATGAACCCATGTTGATTGTCCCTAAGCATATGTAGCAGAATGTATTGTTGGGGTCATCTCCCTGAGGCTGCAAAAATCAAATTTTTCTGGAAGTGTGGACACCCATTTGCCTCAGAACAAGTCAGGAACCTGTTTGATGGAAACATTAACCTTCTGCCCATTTTTTTCTTCTTTTCCCACATCTGGTGATCTTCTTTGAGCATATGCATGCAAGGTGTGAAGCTCAAGCGTAATAGCAAAGGAACGGCCACTGTAGATTGCTCTGTCCTAAACAACTTTTCCCGTTCCCAACCCAAGTGCGCTGGTCACCAGTACTGCATTGTACCCACTTACCTTACACTGTTGGTGTAGTTTCCTTCTGAACTTCCTTCTGGAACTCCTTTGCTGCAGCTGTCATCCTTCCAGTTAGTAGTAGCAGGAGCTCAGGGATTTTTTTAAGAGGTTGCCAGCACTGTTAGCTCATTAACTAGAGTAGTGCTGTTAAGCTATATGAGGTGTTTATTTCTCCACTTCCTCCTCCTTTTATTCCGTGTGTCTGCCCATTTTCCCTCTGCAGCACACCCAGCCCCTGCTGGCTTTGGAAGGGCACAATGGCCTAAGAATTGTCCATTTTCATACTAATTAAAAAAAGGACAGTAGAAATCCCTGCTAAAGACTAAGGGGCATATTTTCCATGGGCATAAGGAGGTGCTACTGCACTGGAGCCAATCCAGTTGCATCTGCTGAGTCCCCTGGGTGAAGATAGCCATAGACACCTGCAAGACCTCTGCTTGTTTTTAAGTTAGACCTGTTTGAAGGAAAGGAGAGAGTTTAAAAAAACCTCAAAACAGCAAGTGTCCCTGGCCTCTCTTTTTGTTTCCACTAGATCCTGATGGTTCTTTGGTTTTGTAAATACATAAGAAAACAGCCCCAGCCCTAAGGAGTTTCCTGTGTTTCTGAGACACATGGAAATGGCCCCGCAGTCATTGGGATGTGGCAATCACAGCTGTGTTCGTGACGCAGCAGCATCTGATAGCCAACAGGATGCAAGTGAAGGACTGTGCTCCTGGCGGTCCTCCCAGCTCCCCTCCATGTATGGTGCTGTTTGCGGAGCAGAGAGACGGGTTGTAATTGCATACTTCTGTGTCACGTGGGAGAAAGCTAAGATCAAATCCAGGAATTTGAAAGGGTACATCTGCTAATTAGATCACCATAACCTGCCAGATCTGAAACTCGGAGGGTCAGAAGAAGAGGGTCAGAATTCAGCTACCCTGCCATGCTGTTTGCAAGCTGGCTCATGTGCTCGTGTCAAAACCCTTCAGGTTGTGGCTTCCCGTTGAATCCAAAGCATCTGCCGTACCTGGGGGGTGGGGACTTCTGTGTCTGTTTATGGTCAAAGATTTCTAATGGAAACCCCCCAAGTGCAGCTTGAACTGTGCAGAGCTCTGCTACAAATGTGTTTAGTTTTTGTTGTAAAAAATTCTGCATGGTCTTTCCCTTTGTGATTCAAATTTATTTAAATCAACAGGGGCTTGAAATTGGTTTCTTCAGTTCTGTATTCAGGGTTAAGTAATTCACTGTGATAGAGTGCCCAAGAATTGATTTTCTCGGGGTCCAGCAGAGGCAGCAGGCTCTATTCCAATAATCCCTCCATTTATCACTGATGAACAATATTGATTTACTGGTTACTTTCTATCTACTAAGCTTGCCTTATGAGATCTACTATTGATATTTATGAATATCTCAGGAATTTCCTTTTGTCAAAGCAGTTTAATGCAAGAACTCTTCAGCCCCTGTTCCATTGTCGGGTTTTTTCACATTAAAAAGCTAGTTGCATTAGTCTGTACACTAGATGGCACTAAGTGTATACTGCATTACACACAGCCCCTGTGTCACCACTGTTGGATGGGATATGCTGTTTTCCCTTTGAGAAACACACCGGGTGCATCTACATGAGATGTTTACTTTGCAGTTGACTAATTAGCTCCGCAGTGAATGTCTCAGTGTTTACACGTGCACCCCTATTAGGGTGCACGAAACAAACTGCTGCAGAGTTTTTTTGTGTGTAGCAGTGCACAAGTAGTCTCTGGCCAGCTGGCTGGGGCACGAGAGTGCTTCAGTGCCGGGGCTACCTGCCAGCTAGATCTGCACTGAAGCACTCTCGTGTCCCAGCCAACCGCTCCGCAGCACATTGAGCCAGGTCAGAGCACCCCTGGGCTGGCAGACTGACCCCCCCCAGGTCTCCTGCCAGATGGGGCTGCTGCAACCCAGTTCAGTGTGCTGCAGTCTGGGCACAAGTGCAGATGCAGGCCCCGGAGCTTCCCAGGAGCAATAAATTGCAGAGCTATAAGCTCCACAGTTTATTGCTGCCCCCTAATGGCATGTATAGATGTGCCCACTAGAAAGAAAAGGTGTCATGGAGAAATCTGTAAATAAAGGTATAGCAGCTCTGTTGTCAGATACTCTGATCAGGAGGTCTCACTAACTCTGCGTGGAGCTGTCAGTGCTCATCATTTCTGAGGCAATAAGCCCATGGTAGCCAAACCACAGCTTGTGAGCTGCATGCGGCTCTCTGGGAATTGGCTGAAGCCCTGCCCACTTCTCCCCGAGACAACTCGAGGGGGCAGCGCAGCCCGGCACCTCCCACCACTCCTGCTTCTCCTGCGGGGAGTGCAGCCTGAGCCTGCACTCCTCCCTCCTTCCCTCCCTCTGGGATGTGCTCCCTGCAGGGAAAGCCAAAGTG